GCTAATCGGTACCCAATTTGAACATTTCCACTTAGAGGTGTACTCACTTTTGTTGCCAACGGTTTAGACATTAATGGCTGTGTCCTGTTATTTTGAGGGGACAGCAAATGTACACTGTTATACAGGCGGTACCCTTAGTACTTTACATTGTAGCAGAGTGTCATTTCTTAAGTGTTGTCACATGAAAAGATATAATAAAATATTTACAAAAATGTGAGGGGTGCAACTACGAGTCCACAATATGCAACTACGAGTCCACAATATGTGTTAATCTATGTTATGCCTACGAAATCCTTATAGTAATTTACAGCAAGCTGCGACTTGCGAACTAATTGCATCATTCGTTACCATGTAACTATGGCATGACTCCTTCAACCTGATAAAATTCAATAAAACATAAATTGAAAAGAAAAATGTGAGGGGTGTACTCACTTTTGTGAGATACTGTATATAGAAATGTCTATACTCTCTTCTATCTCTTCTTGACATGGTATACTACTTTTTAATTTCTTTATTTTGTAATTTATTGCATTTGTACGTGCAGTATACAACATTTCCAATGTACTAGAGAAAAATAAAAATATCTGGAAGGTTATCAGTAACCACAGCAATCAGGATCACACAACAGCGGTATTCCACATATAGACATATTTAGCTTTAGAAGTGTCATGTCATGTCATGTGGTTGGGTAATACCTCTACGGTTGAGTGGTGCCTGTCAGGTGTAATGTCATTGTTGGCATTAAGTACTGAATAGACAGTAGGGCAATTGGCTGGTCTGGAAGTTAGCGGGACCAAGGACTATGTCCTAGGTAGAGGGTTATGGCCGCTTGGCAAAATTCCCTGGTGTCTTCGGGGTCCTGTGTTTGCCCTTGTCTCCCTGCCCCCTAGCCCCTTTTGATAGCGTTGGGGTTGCTACTTTTATGGGTCCTGAGAGACCTAAGTGCTGCATGAATGTCTCTGGGTCATCTGATAATGTCAGAGTCAGACTCTCGCCCCCTTTCTCGATTATAAGTGTCCCCTCCATACCCCTTTGATACTTTATGGAACAATTCCTTATCCTTCTGGCTATAGGTGCCAATTTTCTTTTTTCAGTGAGGACTGTGAAAGGGATGTCTGCATAGATAGCCACTGTGTGGTCTTCGTATGTTATTGTCCCCAATGTTCTCGAGCGGGTCATTATCGCGGATCTCACCACTATGTCTCGTGTGACAGTGATGGTATCTCTGGGTGCTGCCGCTGATTTGCGCAACCTAAACGCCGTGGTAATCAGAAATGGGTCTGTGTCTCCTTTAATGCCCATGGAAGAAAGAAGATTGCGGATATATTCAAGGAGCTCCTCGCCCTCGATCGTTCTACGCCTATGGCGCAACTCCATCGTGGTCACCGCTGTGTGCAGTATCTGCACTTGGGATGCAAGGCCTTCTATTTGACTGCAGGAGTCCTGTATCTGCTTGTCTCTGGTGACCTCTCTCCCTTCTGTCTCCTGTACCTTTCTGTGTACCACTCATACCTTCAACTGGACAGCGTGGAGGTCCTCTTTCCAGACCTTCCTTAGGTCTGTGAGTAGCTTCCTTATGTCTCCTTTGGAGGGAGCCGAGTCCTCTTCTGACTCCAAGGAGTGGCACATGCCCTCATTCTCCTGTTAGGCGTCTGATGCATTATATGGTACACGATTAGTATGGCAAATATGCAAATGGTACATGACACATGTAAACAATCGGCACAACCTAGTCAGAAATTAGTACCATAATCTTGAATAATAGGAGGATTCTCAATTAAAGGCCTGGAACTTGAGTGAGGACTATAAGGATTTGAGCAAAGATGAGCTGACACCTAGAGAGACAATGAGAGTAGAGAAAATAAAATGATAAGACTGGAAAGCAAGAGGAAAAGGAAAATAAAATCAATATTAACATAGTGTGGCATATGTGAATGTAATCGAGGGGTGTAAGGCATAAGTGCAGCCCCAAAAGTGAAAACATGGTTACTCAGCCAACTCCTACATGTACCCAGGATTTCAGCTTTTGATGAAGTGCATGTCAAAGGCATCTATACAGTCCATCTGTTGACTCTCCCTTGTGGTCTCTGCCATTTTATTTTCTGCAACCAGTCAGAAAAGTAAGAGGAGAAGGTTGTACTGTCCAGACCTATGAGGTATACCAGTTCCATAGAATATAGAGAGGCCAGGTTAATTCCCACTTTTCCAAGGTGGGGGGGGAGTTGCAAAGCCATATTCTACATGACTAGTACACCATGAGGGAAGGAAACAGTCCACTCCCCCACAACAAGATTAGGCCACAGTCACAGGAAATGCAGTCTCCACTCAAAAGGGACGTAGCTGCTTGGAGATTGGTACCAGCCTCTGTGTCAAAGCCAGAACCCCAGCCAGAAGGCATATAATGTAACACTGCCAGTAGATAGCCTCATGGACAAAAACTCAGACAAGCTACTGAGTTGTTCTTGCATACGTTATGGTGGTCAAGCTACAACCCTTTCTCCTCTCCTCTTGTCTTTATCTCTAACTGCCTCTTGGCTATTTCTAACTTAAAGAGAATTCACTTTGTTAAACTAAATCTATCCAAAACAGAACTTCTCGTCTTTCCCCCTTTAAGCATTGCTATTTCCATGTATGTTTCCCTCCAGTCAAAAGTGCCATGAAACTATAACTCACAGGCTCACAGTCTTGGAATTCGCTTTGATTCCAGTCACTCCTTCCTTTCTCTTATCCAGTAAATTATCAAATTATATTACTTTCAATTAAAACCAAAGCTACATATCAGCCATTATCTAACACTCCGATGTACCTATCTATGTTGCAAACATCTCCCACCTCGACTACAGCAACCAGCTTCGCATTGTTCTTCTTCAGTGCTAGCCCACCCCTTTACAGTTGACAATGAAAGCAGCAGCCAGGGTCACGTCCCTTCTCACACCTCACCTCTCTGTTAGTTGGGAGGTCTGCACAGGTGCCTACAAGTCTGTTCTGAAGCCCATTAACCTGTTAACCACTGTGTTTTGACATCTTCCCAGATGGCAAGGATGCCTTACTGGAGTTTGTGATAGCTGGGTTATGTCTGAGGGAGCAGATCTCAACACATTACCCCGTCTGTTCAGACTGAGCACAGCAATATAAGCCAGAGAGAAAAAAAATGTTTTAATTTTAGCTCATGAATTACTGTATAATATCTTTGCATTTTTATATATTTTTTTTCTTCTTTTTTTTTTTAATCTGTGTTTTTGCGTTTGTTTTATTTAGTTCTCCATTGTTTTCCTCTGGTTTATTTTCTATATGTTTCGTTGTTTCCCATGGAGTCTATATTAGCAATTGCACAGTATGTAAAGAGCAGCTGTCAGGTGTGTCATTCCACCATTATCATGATCAAAGGCTGCTAATGTGTACATGCTCAAACCTTTCTAATTTTAGATATAAAAGAACTTGACTAATTTTTTGCTTCTAAAATAGAAGTAAAAGTTCCTTTTAAAGTTACGTTTTTTTCCTTTCCCTTAACGTTCTCCAGCATACTATCTCTTGTATTATTATAGCTATGCAGAATGTTGTTAGCATTCTTTTCTTAAAATAGTTTGTTAATAATAGCTCTGCTTTTCCTCTCACCTATGGGTCAGCAAAATTATTACAATTACAGTTACATGTTCTTTGACATACTTTTCTTGTATTTATTGCACATACTAAACTACTAACAACTTCAAAACACTTCTAAAGTAACTTTGTTATTAACTTAAGGAGTAAACATATTGAACTTAGATCTCAGGTCATGATACTGCAGAAGGTAATGGAATCTATTTGACAGAGGTAGACTGAATAACTTAAACATTTATGGGTAGGGGTTTTCATAGGGTCTTTAGTCCTGGGGCTTGAGTCCCCATTTTCACCGCTTAAGCCAACTCTTTGCACACACACAGCCACTTACAGACACACTCAGATGCACAGGCACTTACCTACATAGACATGAATACAGGCATGCAAAGGCACACAGACACCGACAGGTACACGCAGGCAAAGATAGGTACACAGAGGCACAGGAATACACAAAAAAAACAAGCACAAACAGACAAGCACAACATCTTACAACTGTGCAAAGTAGTGTATTCACAGCTATAAAACACAGACTAATGTGACTTTTGTGTGTCACTATCACAGGCTTTCACTGTAATAAATCTTACAATTGCTGATGACTTGTCTTTGGTGTCTCCCTAAGTGGGATACCGAAGGACAAAATGGAGTAGCGGCAGGAAACAATATTGTGAATGCATTGGGTGTGTTAAGGGCGCTGTTTGTGCCGTAGTATGTGTTTCTAGGGGGTGTAGAGAGAGAGTATGTGTGAGACATAGTGTTTTTTTTCTGGTGATGCAGTGTGTGTGTAGGGGATGTAGTGTGTGTAAAAATGTATTGTGTGTATTGGTGATATAGTGTGTGTGTGTGGTTGATGCAA